TGTGTGTGTGTGTGTGTATTATAATAATTATTATATTTATTGTAATTATTATGATTATAACTATTTAATTCATATATATTAGAAACAAAACCCTAAAGAATCGATATTGATGCATATGTAGTCGGATTTTCGACGGAGGAAACTTTGACCGCTTATATCTTTGAAACTAGCTATAGAATCAAGTTGTGCTCATTAGTTCAGAATGACGAGAACTATGACATATCAAAAATTCAACCAATTCGTCCGAAAGTACTTTTTCATATAATTTATGTAGGGTCCTTTATCGATATAATTTAACTATTCGCAATGAACATTGTATAAATATCATGGAAATATTATATAATATTACAATAATATTTATGTAATTTATTTTCGCGGATATTGTAATATTACTATGATATCTCAATAATATTTATGTAACATTTTTGGTATATTGCATTGTAATATTGCAATATGGGAAATAATATTGCGAAATATTACTGTAATATTACATGTGGATAATGACGTGAAATTTTAAGCATAGGTTAAAAACAGTCCTATTAATGTAAAAAACTAAATGTTTCTTTGATATGTTCAAAACACTTAATTTAAATGAGCCAATCTCGATACTTTTTGATTATATGATGAATTCCTTTTCATGCATGAAATAATTTTATCCTTGATAATTATCGAATAAAAAAGATAAAATAATACATTTTGCGTATCCTTACGGGAACGCGCCCACAGTATGCATTTTATCATGTTCATATTAATTGTAATCTCTTTTTTTACAGCAAATCTTCACGTATCCGACCATTAGTTCGATGTCTGGAGTAATTTCGCCGACTAACTTGTCTCTATTCTCGTCTCCTGTTTCGGTAACGAGACCGGTAGCAACACAAAGGTCGGTCTCTAATATCCCACCACGTTGGAATACTGCGCCATTCATCAATTTGGAAGACGATTATAACATGATTGCACCGATCATCACTGGAACAAGCAGTGAGCCATCAGCCACTATAGAGGAAGGTGAAGCTAAATTTTGTGTCTTAATCAGCATTGAATAGCAATATTATGTTTCTTTTTTTTGTTTAAAAAAAGATATATTTAAAGCTTAATAATATAATGGTTTGCTCGTAATTGATTACTAAAGAACGAAAGTAATTACTTGTAACGAAGTTACAGTTACAAGTTACTTTTTTGATAATTTACTGATAACTGTGTTATTATTTTTTTTTATGTAACAGTAACGTAGTTACATATTTTTTTGTAACAGTAACGAATTTTGCACTTTTACTTTAACCATTATTTTTGTATTTATTTATGACATAATTTTCGTTTATTTAATTTTGAATCTTTAGTATTTATAATTTATTCTAATTTCAAGACTATTTTAATCTTAAGATGTTACAGTAAGTCAAGTAAGAGCGTGGTCGGCCTTACTCAAAGCTAATAAAAGATATCGCCCTAAATCATGAAATCCATAGAGGGCACCATTGTCCTTGATGCACTATCAAGGAAGATTCAGTTGTCATTGAACTTTCTTAAGAGAATCACATTAAGCGCCATGAGTACCAAATACGCATCACGCTATGAAGCTGTGTTCCTCTGCACTCACTCGAAAGGTCCAAAAATGTCACAATTAGCGACTGCTAAATATATGAAAAAGTCGAAATCATTTGTACAAAAATGGGTGCAGCGATATAATGTGGCAAAAAATGTCAATGATTTACCGGAACATGGCTCAATATGCAAAGTGGACAAAAAAGACTATAAAAAAATAGTGAATCTGTTTTCACGGAATCCTGGCTTAACACTGCGTCAAGGACAAGCAAAATTGAAACAGAAAGATTTAGATATATCGTATGAAACTATTCGCACCTATTTTAAGGCTAATAACATGAAATGGTGCAGCAGTGAAGAAATCTCTGTTGAATGAAAAACATGTGACGAAGCGACTCGCTTGGGCACGCGAGAACATTGATCGAGACTTTAGCAACGTAATTTTTACTGACAAATGTTCCATATGGGCACGTTATAACCTCAAACGAGCCTGTAACCTCAACTTCCAGAAATAAAATTGTCAAACGGACCATTAAACATGGAGTAAAGGTGCATCTTTGGGGCTGCTTTTCAAAGCAGGGTTTCGGCATTTTGTACTTGTTTACTTGCAACCTGAACCCCGAGAAAATGCTCGAAATCTACAAAAAGGCTTTGTTGCGTCTGCCGAACGTTGGTTCATCGACAAAAATGAGGAGGATTGGATTCTACAGGAGGACAAACACCGCAGCAAGCTCTGTACCGGGTGGAAACAGCAATCTGGCATAGTTACACTGGATTGGCCGTCGCAGTCGTCCGACGCAAATCCTATTGAAAATGTGTGGGCATACATTAAGCACAAGCTTCGTGAAAAACGCACTTATATTTTAAAGCAGCTATCTCGCGAGATTCGACGGATTTGAAGAACCTTATCGTTAGAATATGCTGTTAATTTGGTCGAAAGCATGCCTCGAAGATGCCAGGCAATTATCGATGCCGATGGTGACTGGTCGCATTACTAATGTAATTGCATCTTTGATTTGATCGAGTACTATACATATATGCATATAAAAATTTTATTTAATATATTTTTTTATAAATTAACTCGACCACGCTCTTACTTGACTTACTGTAATACTCTATGATTAGTTTATTTATTAAATTTAAGATAACTGATTGTTTTTTAAATAAAGACATTTTAAGGGGATGCTAGAGTGATGACCGAACTTGATCAATGTCGATCGATGTAGTACAGATTTTTTAATTCGAAATAAAAAAAGTCAATAATAGTGACATCTTTAATTTATTTCTGACATTATCATTCTGTCTCATTCAATGCATCTGTCCTTATCTAACATATTGCAACGCTATTTCTTGCAAGATTAAACACCTACTACTAGACACAATTACTGCTTTGTTTATATCAGTCTTCAGCTTTTTATTTTTGTTTTATAAACTCAGTATATAAACGCTGGATAATGAACCATAGCGGAAGGGATAATATAGTGTGTACAGAACAGTGTAAATCTCTTTTTAAATCTCTGCCCTCTCGTCTATGGACTGTTCATATGGAAGAAGCTAGCAACTATAAAACTATGGAACGGTATTCACAGTCCATTTTTATTTAAAAAATTTCTTAAATATTGTATTAATTCCCACAGCACAAAACTCCGTTTAAGTTCCCAGGGAGTTCATTTTGCTGAGCTCTAAGGGAAATTATAAAATTTGGCAAAAAACAAACTACCAGGGAGTTCATAATGTTGAGCTCTTGGGAAGCTTAGATTATCGAAGCAAGATTCGATTAAAAAAGCTTCCAGGGAGTTCATTTTGGTGAGCTAAAATAGTTATAAGATTTTTATAGAATAAAAATTAAATTTTTAACATTGATCATTGGCCGCGTTCAGTAGAATGTTTATTTTGCAATTGCGGAAAGTTTTCTTTCCAATGGATGCATCCAGATGCACAACTGCTTACTGAGTGGCCAAGTATGAGGGCAAGTCAATAAGTTCTTAGAAAATCTGTCAGAGAGCACTCGCAGTGTCATGTCACATTACTTTTGGACAAGTAGCATCTTTCAGCTGATTACTTTCAAATTTTGAGCGGAATTCATGTGGTTTCATTTCTGTAGATGATTAAAGCGAACAACATTTGTATTTTTTGCAAAATGAAAAAAAAAACAAGTTTCGTACAGTGATCAAACATCTATATATGAAAGATTTAACGCCGAAAGAAATCAAAGCCAAGTTGGATAATGTTCGTAGCACATCTATACCAGCGTTTGCGACTGTATACAATTGGGTGGATGAATTTACACGTGATCGTACATCCATATGTGATGCACCTCGTTCGGGACGTCCAATTGAGGCTGCTACGCCAGAAATCATCGATGAAGTCCACGATATTATTTTGACTGATCGACGAGTGAAAGTGCGCGAGCTTGTTGAGGCCACAGGCATATCACATGGCACAGTGATTTTAATTTTGCACGAACAATTGGGTATGAAAAAGCTATCGGCAAGATGGGTGCCGGTTTGCTCACTGTGGACCATAAGCACGACCGTGTGACGATTTCAAAACAATGTTTGGAGATGTTTCAATGTAATCCAGATGAATTTCTGCGTCGATTCATTACTGTGGACGAAATATGGATCCATTACTTTACACCTGAGACGAAGGAACAGTCAAAACAATGGATTTCACCGGGTGAATCAGCTCTGAAGAAGGCGAAGACCTGAAAGTGAAATCGGCCGGAAAGGTAATGGTCACAGCTTTTTGGGATGCATGCGGTATAATTCATATCGATTACCTTCCGTCGAAGTAAACGATCAATGGCGATTATTACGCAGCCTTATTGGACCGTTTCAACAATATTTTAAAGAAAAAAACGTCCCCATTTGACGAAGAAGAAAGTGCTCCTCCATCAAGACAATGCATGGGTTCACACGTACCCGGTACCGATGGCCAAATTCAACGAATTCCGTTACGAATTGCTTCCCCATCCAGCATATTCGCCAGATTTAGCCCCCTACAACTATTTCCTGTTTCCAAACCTGAAGAAATGGTTCGGAGGAAAGAGATTCATCAGAGAGCAGCTCATCGCCGAAACAGAGGCTTATTTTGAAGGGTTGGACAAATCATATTATTCGGACGGCTTGAAAAAGTTGAAGAATCGTTGGATCAAGTGTATCGAGCTGAAAGGAGACTATATTGAGAAATAAAAATGAATCAATCAAAAAAAATGTATTTTACTATGTTTTTCTAAAAACTAATTGATTTGCCCTCGTAGCAATTGAAGATGATTGATTAATGATGATTGGTCCTTACCTTAAAATCTGACCAATCATCTTCAATTGCTACTTAACCGCTCAGTGATTCGAGATCCGTAATACTGTGCCATCATTTCGCAATCTCGCGAGAGTATCATAGAATAAAAAGAAGGAGACCAAACTCAAGCGGCCGGTCATGAAAAAGTTGGACTCGATTTTTAGCTTCGGAAAAGTGTTGTACGGAATAACAGATTTGATTACGCCTGTCGGAGAAAACTGTCAACTTAGAGGATTTGATAAATATTTTTCTTCCCATTTTCCTATAATTTTGCAAATTTGTGTATTTCTACGCATAGAATATAGTCTGAGAAAGTTGTCGCTCAAGTCCCGTTTTATTATTTTTTTTTTAATTTCAAAGTTTTTTAATGAAGTTAAAAAATTATAATTTAATAATAATTGTAATGTGTAAAATATGGCTATGCCTGCATGTATGTATTTTTCAATAAATATTAATACATTTACTTTTTAATCAAATAAAATAAAATTAGAATTTCTGCACTAAAAATAAAACGTGCATACACGTGCATTCCATATGCATTATTATGTGGTATGTACGTACTTCTAACTATCTCCGTAATAGCACTTGAATCGCATTATTTCAATTTTCATGTTATCCTAAACCAAGTCTGTTTTTTATTGCTGCACTCTGAACCGGTACAATAAATTGAAGTGAAACAAATATATATAAGTATATTTGTTTTGCTTCAACTTATTGCATTGTGTGTACCAGTTCAGAAAGTGCAACAATAAAAAACAGACCTCATATTTCAAATCCACTTTCGATTCGATCCTTGAGTTTTGCCGAATCTACAATAAGTCAATGGTCTGTAGTCTAGTTAGTGAATCAAAAACGAGTCTGGAGGATAATAAGTGAGTCGGAATTGGTCAAAATCACTAAATCGGACCAGCAGCCAACTTCTAATGAGTACAGACTATCGATCGGCATTTAGGCTGCACGTGGGTTGGTGAAGTAAGGGATAGGAATCAAACTGAAAATCGGCCGAAATGTACAACTAAACCCCAGCTCTGGACTAAAGACTCATTACAGATCTGGCATTGATCTCCTAGATTGTTTTCCGGCCATATTTGTTCCAAAAGAATTGGAAGAAACAAAGGACTTTTTCGAAGATTTGATTTCCTTATTACGTGGCACGTATTTTACGA